CACACTGTAAGTTAAATAGATCTTTCCCGCTTTTACTTTGGGCCTAGGATATTTTGACTTAGCTATGAGAAAAGTAATTAAAGCACTGACTCTATTTAGACCATTACTATATATGTCAGACATTGCGATGTGGTTTTGCAGCAGAGGAGAGAGAGTGAATTCAGTGCCTAATGCAGTAAGGCAAAGGGGCTCCTAGCCCAAGAGCAGGCTGGATCTGTAGCTGGAAGCTTACCGAGAGCAAATGCCTGGACAGAGGGGAGACTGGCAGAACCAGGTGCCAGAACTCCTGCTGAAGGCAGGCACAGTGGCCATGTGTCTCCTACCGGCTGCTGAGAGGTGTGTAGCTCAGTCAGATACCTGGGGTATCTGAGACAGGGACTCTGGCTAAACAGAATTTGTAGGATTCTTGTTAAAATTGGACACTGCAGAGACAAATAGATAATGTGAAAAGTCAGGACCCTGCTGGGTACTTTGGTAAAGGAGAGTAGCTCTGTCACTTGTAGCTGATTGCTGTACATCTAATAAACATTAAGTAGCCTTAGTGTAATAGCTTGATTACAACTCTTTATTATTTGTCACTGTGAGATCACTTTTTAACCAAGTGAGAAATGATTGATTTTTAATAAAAATGAAGTATTTCTTTTTCACATTTGTATTCTTTGATGCTAAATAATTAAATGTGCTAACTATAGTCACAGATTATACAAGTTTTATAATTTAAAGTGGACACATCAGATGAATCAGGGTACTGGAGCTGCAAGACCTGGATTCTCATCCAATCCTTTGTGCGCTGTGGGACTTGAACCAGCTCTTGTCTTAGGAGCCTTCATTAAGGGAGGAGATGATCCCACTTACAACAGTAACCAAAAGGACTCATTAGTAGTAAACTTAATCAAAGAAGTAAAAGGCTTCTGCACTGAAGTGATAAAACACTAGGAAATTAAGACACAGATAAATGCAAAAATCCCTTTGCGGTGGTTCGGTAGAATTCATGTTAAAGTGTCTATACTGCCTATGGTTATCTACAGATTCAGTACAATCCGTATCAGAATCCCTATGGCACTTTTTACCAAAACAGAAAATGCATACTGGGAACTCTAGGTGCGGGCCTGGAATCCCAGCTCTGTGAGAGGATGGGGTGGGAGATCCCTTGAGACGAGGCATTCAAGGCCAGCAAAGGTAATATAGCAAAATCCTGCCTCAAAAAGAAAGAGAAAAAAGAAAGAAAAACAATTCATATGTAACTACAAATACCCTAGCAGTCTTTAACAATAAGAACACAGCTAAAAGCCTATGCTTTTTGATTTCAAAATGCATCCCAAAGCCTCAGTAATTTTAACAGTATAAACCAACACACGCATCAGTGAAACAGAATAGAGAGTGTGGAAGTAATTCCTTACATTTATTGTCAACCGATCTTAACAACAGTGCCCAAAGCAAACAATAGAGAAAAGTAGTCTTTATGATAAATGACGTTCATGTAAAGGGCTGAAATAGGACCCTGATACAATGCAAATGTCAACTCAAAATAATTCACAAATTCAAATGTATCATGAGAAGGCAAAAAGCTACTAGAAGAAAGCAATGAAAAAACTTCTTGATATTGATTAGGCAGTGATTTTTTTGACAGAACAAGTTGTTTTGCAGCAAAAGCAAACATAGTCAAATGATATTGCATTGAAATGGCAAGCTTCTCCACAGCAAAAGAAAACAATCCCCAGAGTTAGGTGGTAATCTATACAGTGGGAGAAAAATATTTGCGAAGCATGTATCTGTGAAGGAGTTAAGATTCAAAATACACAAGGGGCTCCTTCAACTAACAGCAAAACCCCAAACAACCTAATTTAAAAATGAAATAGGGTCTAAATAGACATTTCTCAGTAGAAGACTCAGAAATGACCAGCAGTTCTATACAACGGATGCTCAGCAACAGTCATCAGGGAAGCCAGAGAGTTATCATTTTATCCCTGGAATGTTCCTATCTGAGAGGTGAAGGATGATATGTTTCCCATGATATGGAAAAAAAAGGCAAGAGACATACATTGCTGGGATTGTAAGCTGTTGCCTACTATGAAGAATAGTTTAGAAGTCTATTAAAACTTAAAAGCAGAACTTATGCTCCAGCAGTCCTACTTTTAGCCATACATGCATAGGAAATGGGCCCAGTATCTCCAGGAAGCCTGCCCTCTGGAGCTCACTGCAGGGCTATTCACAACAACCAGGATATGGCAACAAGGGAAATATCCCTTGATGAAGAAGGAGGTTTGAAAGAAACTGGGATGTATAGAGACACCCATGGAGTGCTCCTTCACAAGGGAAGAAGATCCTGTCATTTGAGACAGCATAGACAAACTGAGAACATACCGAGATGAAACAAGCCAGTCACGTACATGCAGACACTGCATCAAGTCATTTCTGTGAGGAATCAAACATTGGCACCTAGAAGCAGAAAGAGTAGGGTGGGGCTGCCATGGGTGGCTCAAGGCTGGACGGGGAAATGGTGGCATAAAGGAGTGCCCCGTTACCAGCGAGGGAGAACACTATGACTGTAGTTAGAAGTACTTCAAAGAAAAAAAATCTTTATTTGATAACATACTAAGAGTTCTTGCTACATTTTATTTTTTTGTGTGCTGTGAAGGAAATTCATGACCTCGTGCCTTCTAGGCAGCCACTGTGCCGCTGAGCTGTATCCCTGGCCCTCTTGCTACCTTCTGAAGGTTGACTGTAGGTGTGTGAGGTGGGGGATGTGCTCATCGGCTGATGGAGCTCACTGTTTCACAAAGTGTGCATATGTCAGTGTGTAAGGGGAGGTTGGCTATCAAATGCTGTGATAGCTGGTGATGCCATAGATTGTGCACTTAACTTGTTCTGTGATTTTGAAAAGGATGGCCACACTTGTATTTGTCACCAAATGCAAAGTTTGCAGACAAATAAAATTTTGCTGAATGCTTCTGATTTCATGTCAAATGGCTTACAAACAAAAGGTTTTGTGAGCCAAGGTACCATTACATAGAAGTGTATTCTAGTGTTCTACGTCATAATAGTCTATTATGTATTTAATAAAGGACCAGAGGAGGGGTTTCTTGGTTCCTAAGATGAAACATGATAGCTGTTTAGAGATGGAAATGCTGAGTACCCTGGTTTATTTGGGACACACATCAAGTGGTCAAACACTACCTCATAAGTGTTATATGAAATTAGAGTATTTCTCTAAAAACTGAAAAACATCAAGTTGTTCACCTTAAAGAATACAACTTTTTTTTTTTCTTCCTGAATTGTACCTCAATAAAACCTAGGGGAAATTGAGGCCCATCCATTCTTTGGTGGGCCTACAAAATGGTCTCATGATGGTTAAAGCTCACAGTAACCTGTGATTCCTGGGCTTTTAAATGTTTTTAATGGTTCAGACCCATGTAAAAGTTAGGATCTCTTAGGAAACGCTAAATGATGAAGCAGCCAGCTTCGCACTGAACTTTTGTGTTGCTTTGTGGGTATGGGTGCTCAGCCCTCTCCTGTGTGTCTAGGCCTCCTGTTGAGGGCTGCACACCCAGCCATCCTACAGAGTGCACAGCCAGCAGTGCCATCCTTGTGCCTCATGCTGCGATGAGCCCCCGAGCCCCTTTTGGGGGGGAGAGGGACACCTCTGGTCATGAGGGCACTCTGGGAACCAAATGGTGGTGGCTGCACATGCTCACGGCAAGTGTGGTTCAGATGCATGTCCTTACCCTTTTATAAATCCACAAGTAGATGTTTAGTAAATAGCATGCTGGCATTGCAGGCCTCTACATTTCTTAAGACATGACATGCTAGCTTGTATGGTAAAAGATTAATCTCAAAGTTACTTAGCTTTCTTAAGACTAAAAAAAGCAAACTGCTTGCTGCCCAAATTCTGCATGTCCATAATATGCTCCTAGCCTTCCTGGTTTCTTTAGTAAAATATCCAGGTTTTGTGCCTGAAATTAGTTAATTGCTGTCATAGTTTGTTAGTAGTGAATGAAAGGGACTAATGATGCTCTCTGAAAGCTTAATGTTATGGAAGCTGTATATACTTTAGATTATTTTTTAACTATGGCTGCAGTAAGATGCATTTTATGTTAAGATTAATTACATACACACTTAGACACTGTTACTGAATTAAACTTCACGACACAATATTATTTTTTCCTTATCCTGTGTATTACAGTACCTTCTATGTTACTATTTTTTTATTTCTTTTTTTTTTTTTGGTACTGGGAATCAAACCCAGGACTTCATGCCTATCCATTAAATTAATGAATATGGCTTGCCAAGGATGTCAGATCACAGACTGTCAAATGAGCAAGTGGTGTTTAGGTACACAACCACTCTCACTGTGCCTGTGTGATGTCATATA